AATGTCATCTCACTTCTTATAGACAAAGCAAATATCCATTTCTTACCATTGAATCACGTGAACCTAGGTACATGTCAGGAAGTGGAGACCTTTGGAAGTCCTCATTGCAAAATAAGTTGTGGAAGCTTTGAGATTTTAAAGAATGTTTTGCTTCATTTCTTTTGGTCAGATGTCTATATATCTTTGTTTGAGGTCGAGCTAGGCCTTTCAGTATCACATAAAATCCTTCAGTTCCCACCACTGAAACAAAACCAAAAAGATATAGTGCAGACTTTATTTCCCAGGTTGTTTGATATAGATGTGATTAATACACATACAACACTTGCCTTACTTTTACCAGATTCCTTTTGTTTAATACAGTGACTATGACTTTAATGTAGCACTTAAAAGACAATTACAAATAGGTTCCAGTGGTGGAATAGGCAGAAATGCTACACAGACCCTCTTCTACAAAGAAAAAACAAACCAAACCAAACTCAATGCTGTGGAGTCAGACCTGACTCATAGTGACCCCTCCTTGGGTTTCCAAGGGAAGGGTTACTCTAGGGAAGTGGAATGTTCTCTCTTCCTTCAGAGGAGTAGCTGCTAGGTTTGAACCTATAGGCTTTGTGTTAGCAGTCAGATGATTTGGGCACTCTGCTACCCAAGCTCCTAACACAGATACAGAAGATAAATTTGGAGCCCTGAGCTTTGAAGGGAAGGATACAGAAGTGGACTAAACTCCAACAAGTAGAAGAATTTGCATGAAAACACCAAAAAAGGAGACATATGGAGCTGTGGTCTGGCGATCCTGACAACACAGACAGCTTGGATATTGCCAAGCAATGTTAGGACCTGAAAATTAACCTAAAAATCAGCCCTGCTAGCCAGGGACTGCACAGAGGCTTGCAGTGGTAGTTGGTGAATAAAAGGGGAACCAGCAAAGAGGAAGGCAGACAGAGCTGTGGACTTTTGCCTGTCCAGAAGGCACAGCCATTTTGAATGTTTACGAGTGGTTGGACAATTTTGGATATTTAAACAACAGCATTCTCCCACATTCCAGGGACTTAAGAATAGGCTCCACTTGCCAGGAACCACAAGGACATTCCAGATGCCAATGATTAGAAAGGTGCAACATTTCCCTTGTCTTTCTTATACCTCACATCCTCTTGGTGAACAGAGGTGCAGCCATCCCTCACTCCTACCCACCTTCTAGGCTGGCAGGAATTCCATCGCAGTCTGTGTGCTCAGAAAGAGCCTGGATGCCCTGCCCCATTCTGCCCATATTTTTTGTTTTTCCATTTTTTTCCCTGTTTAAAAATTATATTATTATTATTATTATTTATTCTTCCCTTCCCAGGTTGCAGTTTTCAGCTTTTTCTCTCTTCCCTATTCCTGTTTCCCATGTTTTTCCTTCTTGTAGTTAACCCCATTCCTTGTTTTTCTTTTTTCATTTTTCCCATTTTTTTCTTCATTATTCTCTTACACTACCTTTTTTCTCTTATTATCCTTTTCCCAGATATTGTGTTTTTTTTTTTTTTTCTTTTCTTTTAGTTCTGTTTGGTGATTGTTCTTGTATGTTTATGCAGTGTGTTTTTTGTCCAATTGCTTCTACTTTCCTGATGGTCTTTTGTTATTTTTGTCTAACTGAGTGGGAGACAGCAACTGTCCCCACATGAAGCAACTACACCCACACCTCCTACAGCCCCATTTACTCAGTGAGAGCCACTGCTTCCTTCTCCACCAACAGACCAATGATAAACAACTACCAAGAAGAGCTTGACTCACCCTTAGCTGCTCTTCATGAACAGTTAACAAAGATCTAAATACAACAATGTCAAAATGTATTGGAGACAACAGACCATCATGGTCTACACAAGGACACAAGACAAAGTGGTAGATACAAGGGACAAGGATACAGACCCAGAACACACTCCTGAGGAAGAGGCAGCAATGGAACTGCCTGATAAGGAATTCAAAAGAATTATATTTAGGTATGTTCAAAGGTTTGAGAGACAGATCAAGAAAAACACTGACAAAATTAAGGAAAACACAGACAAAACCCTAGAAAAATTTCAGAAGAAAATACTAGAACAAACTAACAAAATATATGAAACATTAGAAAGGACTCAAAATCTAAAGATAGAAACCCAGAAGATTAATACTAAATTTTCAGAAAC